CGTGCCCAAGTATAAAGGATGAGGAAGTTTGAAACGTTTAATTAAAACTTGGATGCTTCTGAATGCTGAATACTGTATTATGGAGCAAGTAGAAATGAGATCTTTACAATCCTTTCGAAATATGGTGAAAAACAGATAATTCGTCAGCCTTAAATATCGTTATCGTTCTCATGGAACATGTAAAATATGGGACTTCCGGTGTTGCAGGACTCACAAATGTGACATGTCATCGTAATTGTGTAATCGTATTCTGAATCGAATAATGGTAAAACATAAATCTAACAATGGCTTGAATTGCTGCACAAATGTTGCCTCCATCACATGTCCAGGCAAACTTTTCCAAATATTTACCATTCTCCGTTCGAAGCATAGTGGGTGGGGAACACGTTTTACCTCCGGCACGATAGTTTGTATCTGTGTCCGCGTGTGCTGCATGGCCCTCGTAATTGCAACATTGGCCTCAGCATGGGGAAGTCACCGAGATGTAGAATAGGGTAAACCATAATATGTTCGACTCGCATCCGATGGTAGGACAAGGTGTAGAGTCCTAGTTTCTTACAACCGTCTTCATACCCCAAGCCATGTAAACTCGGCATGTGCCTGGTAGCAACATATTTACCCGTACGATCTTTCGTGCCTCGCCTCAGGTAATCGGAAAGTAGGCGAGCAAACCGTACTCTAGCATTGGTCTAATGACGGAAGAGAAGTGGCGAGTGGCATCATTTTCAGACCATGTGCCGAAGCTACGTTTGAGCGTCCAAAGCATATGCAGTCCGTTCCGATACAGCCTGTACTGTTAATTTTATTCCCCCTAAACACGCAAGCAAAATACGCATCGAATTCATTGTATTCTTCCATTCGTAGGTTAAACATAAAAAATGGCAAAATATATTCTTGTTATTAGAAACTTATTTTTACACATTACTGCATAAGTGAAAGTGCTTTCAACTCGTTGAACTACTGTCGCTCTTCATCGTACATCACAAAAGATGAAATAGACATATGTCGGATGTTTGAAGAAATATTAAACATTGTGCACGTAAACCAATTTTTTAAATCACTGGAAATTTTTAATAAGCATTCTTTGATGCATGGCAAAGATAAATGAGGACGGTATATCAACATATTTTGCGATATGTTCTAATGTTAGGTTTACAGCTAGGCAATGATAAGTTCCATTTGAAATCTTCCGGAAATTCGTAGGTAGAATTCTACATGTTGAAATCCATGAGTTTGGTTTGTGGTGTCGATTATCTTTAGATGTTTACTGTTTGCGGAACATGGTTGGTTTGATTGCGACACTGCAAGGATCTCAGCCTCCTCACAATGACAAGCTTTTTGTATTGAATGCTACGATTTACGGTATCCGTATCCATGAAAGGCAAACGAGGCAGTCCAAAGAAGGAGAATTTAATTTAATCACTCTTTTATTGTTACATGCTCCATTAAACACCGTGATTCCATAGCAGCTTTCGGTCTTAGAATCATAGCTGGGTAACAATAATTACTCATTACAGACCACCGATGTGAAAAGGGAACAATTTCGCACATCCGCGAAGCATGGATGTCTTGCGCATTTTTGATCTTCTGAATCTACTCCGCCTTTGTAACAAGCGCATATGTCAAAGGTCAGTCAATTCTATATTTTTGTACCATGTTCGCAGTATAACCTTGCGACTGCCGAATATCTCAACTTGTTTGGAAAACGGAATGCAAGTAATGCAATCGATTTTTATTAAATAGTTGTGTGAGTTAAGATTGATGAAATAGTGTTCCTAAACTATGCATACTAACACGTAAGCTTTATTACGATATATTGTGCTACGCCTTTTAAATGCATAAATAGCCTATCAAAATATTTGAGGTGTGTCCGAAAGGTATGGACACCCAATCTAATTCTAATCCAATCTAATTTATTAAAATCAAGAATTAACTGCATACAAACTTTTCTACAGATCTTTCTCCTCCACAGATTAAACTTGGATTAGCCAATGAATGAACGAGTTGAGTTGGTATTTCTCAGTGGACTGAAGGATGGTCATTTTGAATGTCACCGGATGAATTTAATGCGTCTCTTTCATGGGCAATTCAAATTGTTTTTTCGACGTTGACGGTGATTAGCCAAGTTGAGAAAGCAGGCAGCATCATGGGCGAATTGCTTTCTGGGAGACTAAGTAAATCAGTCACAACGAAAAATGATGTAGTCTGAAATGCATATAAGCCCTAAAATGTCAATCCTCAGGACATCTATGGAATAGGGTACTTCGACACCAACCACATCGCTTGATAGACGAAGGAGTGAGATGTGGATTGGTTATCAAAAAACATGTTGAGAACATCCACTTTACAGTGTGTTATGTACTGTATAGCAATGAAGCAGTTATGTGAATGTTTTCGTTAAATGTCAAATGGGTCAACGCTGGTTATAACAAAATCTTGTTTATGTCAAACCATCACGTCACGGCTATGTATGTTTTCTTGGAAAAGGCAGGTGTTTATCAATTTTTTTGGATGATTGCCTGCCTGGGAACACTTATAGTGCTATGCTAAAGATCAGTTAATTCTTTAGTTTAAGAGTTTTGGTAAACGACCTCCTGAGTATTTCCAACAAGATACCGGTTCTACCCATTTTGCAAAGAGTGGAACAATTGGTTGACTGACAATTTTCCAGATTGGATTGGAAGCGGCGGTAATGTGCATTAGTCACGTCGTCCGTCTGACCATTTTCCTCCTGATTTATTTATCGGGAGAATGATAAAGCAGAATGTATAATCACCAGCAAGCGCGCATCCCACAAATAACACAAGAAATTAGAGGCGACTGTAACAAAATCGCCGGTAATGTTGAGTTGCTGCAGTAAGTTTACAAATTTTTGAAAAAAGTATCAATATTTGCATCGCAAATGATGCAACCCGTATTAAAGATGTTATCTGAATAAAAGTGGCATTGTGCCTCATAGGCCTGGACTTTACAGACACTATGTAGATTGCCCTAATTATCTGGATCCGCAGACCGTTACAACTTGGCTGTGAGAATATTATTTGAAAAGCAGGCTAACTTTGTTTGAATATTTGTATTTGATATGCATGTAGCAAAGACAAGCAGCATCCTTTTATTCATTTTCTGTTAAATGTTTCTAGCCAACCACAAGTCGGAATGACATGAAATCTGAAGACCAGTAGCCATGTGGAAATAGAAGGACACAAAACCGTTACAGAGAACACAGCAATGCGTTGCTATATAAGCAATCGAAATGTGCACGTCCTTTTGTTAATACACACATGTTAACACAATGCACCTTTGTAGCAAATGATAGTAAACTATATCAGTTTACTGTTAACTAATATCCTTCGTTATGGACAATGAAAAGACCAAAGTGTTCAGGTTCGTATATTACAGATGGTCGATTTATTATTTCCCAAACTGCTTTGCAGAACGTTAAACGCTCTATATTTTTAACAAAACGACCCAGGACGACAAACATCATACATCAGACAAAACGATGGAATGCCGTTTATTTCCTCAGATTACACCGTCTCCGTGTTTTATTAGATCTATTAGATCTAGGGATAGGAATCAAGACCGCTGAATACCTGGTTATTGTCCCTTATTTTCCAGGTATTTGCAACCGTAGAATCGCCCGCATAACGCTAGGCCATATAGCAAGCAATAGTTCAGCAATGCAAGCGACCAACGGAGAGACAGTTGAGTTATAAATTAACTTATCTATTGCCCAAAGTGTTGCGATTTATTATTTGGCGTGCTGTAGTTACTAATTCTCATGTTGACTGTTATAATTAATTAGTTTGAAGAGTACTCTTCCACTGATGGACGGAATCCTTTTGGTTCTACAATGCATTTCCTTTGATGGTAGTTTGAATGTTGCTTGTCCAGCTTACGGAAAGCTAAATACGAGTTAGCGAAATTTCTTGTATTGGAAACTAAGCCAACTTCTTGGCGTCAATTACACCAAAGCACGCGACCACGTTTCTTTAGACATTTGGCAAGGTAACCGCTTGGTGAATGTTTTTTGTCTGATAGCGCCTAGGTACACACAGCAAAATGTTTCATTGTTGTTGATATTGATGAATAGTCCTGGATGTTAACGCATATGAAAAGCGTAGTGAAACGAATCCCATTATTTTTAGTCAATGTTCTGTCAATTAGTCAATTTTATTTAATTTTAGTAAACGAGCACTTTGCCTCACACAGTCTTTCATTGCTAGCCGACTATTGTTTAATATATTAGAGAATAGTATAGAGAATGATGGCTGGAGTATTCTTAATGCCACTCACAGTTTCCGACTGTCGGCCACTGCAAGTGACAATGCATACTAATTGTACGCCCGGATTTAACTGCTACAGCGTAGAAAATCGACCCGTTTGCATTTAGTATCAAGAAATTGGATAATGGTGTTATATGGCCAGAAAATTTTATAGTGTATTTCTAATTGAGGCCAACCTAATTTGACGGCGTTAGTCAAGGATGAACCACTTTGCCTTGACAGGGAGAGTGACATCCTTGTATGTGTCAAGTTTGTAGTAAAGTGCCGTGGGATTTTACGAAATAGTTCTTTAAGTTTTCTTACTCATCCTACTAACACTGAAGAAACGTTAATAATTGAAACCGTTTTTGTTGTCGTCATAATTTACACCGAGCAATGTTGTTTCCAGAGCCTCTAAACCTTTGCTTTAGTAGTACACGTGCATAAATTACCAAACACAGTCAGAAATGCCGTTGAGCTACCTAAAGAAAATATCGCTGGATGATAACAAACGTGCGTTCCTCATTTTGTTACATATTTTGGAATGTGATAACGAAAGTACTCTTATTGGCTGAATTATTTGTGCCAGTTGTTTCTCAGGTCCAGATTGGTCAAAAATTTCCACTGGCTTGGTTTCGAGCAGAGAGTTAAATCAATGTCGCATGAGTACAACAAGTCATTACTTTCTAGCGTTTGTTTGATACACACAGCATGAATCACGAATTACCCTCTTTAATGACTCCCATAACTGGAACTGTTGTTAATTTTCCTATCAATCCCATAACTAAACATTTTCGAATAACTCGCCAAGTGGCCAGTGCAGGACCGGAAATGGTTTGGAAAATTTTCGATGCCGTGAGGACGGACACAAATGAAGTGAGCATCATGGAATAAAATTTTCATTGTATAAGTCTTATGAAAATTTGGTTACTATACCATGTGATAAGTACTAGGCTACGTTTAATCTTTGTATCATACAGTCAGCTATAGGTCCACTGTGGTAGCTTTGCCAGGTTGTATTTTTTGAAATGAGTTAAGCGTTACACCATGAGCTGTAAGACAACAATAAAGCAAAACAGTGACTTACTTATTCTTTGAAATGCCATCATTGGCAACTGGGCAATTCATAAGCTACCATTTCGTAATTTACAAGACCACGACAATAAGCGCATAGTTCTTTTGGTGAATATCGCAAATGGTTTACTGGCTGAATTGTTTAGGGATTAATCGGAATAGCAGCTGTCATTTGAGAGTTAAGCAAAAAAATCATCTGAATTCAAGTTTACCTGAAATTTGATAAACTTTAGTAAGAATTGCCTACTTATGCAGCATATTTCTTTCGTTAATATTAGCAGCGTAATGTTTCCTAACCCACTGGAATTCCTATGGTACAGCTTGACGCGAAAAGCTTCTTAGGTTGGTAGCAGCTGCTACAAGAGTTAGAGAAATGTTCCCGAGTTGCAAGTGGCGCGGATAGAATGCATTGTACAATTTGCATCCAATGGATCATACTGTAGCATTGTGGTATCTTATAATAAAAATTAAGACCACATCAGTAACCCTACTGGAAAAGCTATTGTGGTCGCGGACAGGCATTAATGAAGAATCCGAACAGCATTTGGAGCAGAAAGAGGATTCTCGTATGTAACCGAATATAAGCCGATGAATTTTGGGCCATTTATTATTTTTGAGAGAATGGATGGCTAATATAAATGTTAGGCGAAATTTAAATACAAGTCAAATGCAAAATCCCCAGAAGAAGTCTGTTCACCACTCTGGCCCTAAACTCTTAGCACTCGTAGATAGTGACGGGGAGTTGAATGTTCTCGATTTCGTACTGTGTCCATGCGGCACTGAAGGTAGCGTGTAACGATAGCAATTGTATTCTGTAGCGCAATTTTTCACTATATGGCAATTTTGACTTTTGCGACGGATGGTAGTAGCAGAAAAATACGGGAGTATATAGAATCAAACAGCATCACGCACAATAAGGCTTGGAGTAATCATGACGGAAAAGCACTTACTGTCAGATATTTTGGGGTCAGCAAATATAACTTCGTACTTCTTTGAAAAACCTTGATATTCCTAAGCTATACTGTCGGCCTTTGGACGGGTTTATATTCGTTTATATATGGTAGTAATTATTGCAACCAAACAAAGTACTTTAAGTTTTGTACCAGTTTCACATTGCTGCGCTGTCATAGTTATTTACGTAAAAAAACTGAAACAATTTCCATCTCCGTATCATCTTAGCAACTAACATACTTATCTAATGTGTTGTTTAGCCCAGGGTCCGTGATCTCAACAAGTGAAACTTACATAGAACAACATATCCTTATGTATATTCGTTTGAAGTACACGGCTGCGTTTTACATGTTACGTACGAATAGTAGTTAGACCAGTATGCCAACTTTATTTCATTTTTAGCTGCAAAAGTGACAGGTAAGCATAATCAAATAATTGACACCTTAGATTTATGTAAATAAGGCTGCACAACTTGCAAACATAATGTGTTTGGTTATGGTGGACTCAAGTGCAAGAAGTTGGAAGACCTTGACTGTTGACATTGCCAAACAATGAAACTTGATTATGCAACTTTCGGTCTGTTGTGCAGCTTGTTTATCAAAATTTGTGTAAGCAAACGTTGTTCAGATGCACTAGGTTTGTTCAGACTACGCCGAGTCTTTTTTGTATGTTCTATGGCAACCAGTCTTATAATGATAATTTAGGTCTCTCGCAGCATGTTATTAGTCAGGCATCCGCTCCACACATCCGGAAAACACAAGGCCACGGTTTCGCCCAAGGTTGACCTCTCGATCATGCGCATTCCATCAGATCGATAGCACACCCAACACTACTATGCGAACTTTAACGAACTTTTTCCAATAATATATAGTGACATTAGTGGCCGCCTATCTGTGTTAACCCAACGCTGCACCGTAAGTTGCCGACACGCCAAATACAGGCAACATCAAGTGGTCTACTAACCGGTGCACATCAGGTTGTGGTTGCACGAAATTTGCATGAATAAATCATCAATACTTTTGCATTTATTATTCCTTTACGTTCAGCTGCTTTTGCCAATTTAACGGACATTAATTCCCAGACGGCTGTTTGTTGACGTAAGGGGTTTTCTTTACCTTACCAGGTGGTAATGTAATGTTAAAATATAATGTTGAAAATTGTCGAACTGTTGCAATTTACTTGCTGTTCGACACTGGCCGATCCACAACAAACGGGTTTTTAAGGAACAAAGTGAAATAGTAATTAGTTTCACATTGCTCATTAAACGGTCCTCTTTACTGGAAATGGCGGAACGCCTTTGTTTTGTGCTGAACGAACTACACGGAGAGTTGGCACTAGCCGATAAGCCTTTACTCCCACTAATTGCGATAAGCAGACAACTTGTCGACTATGTTTGGCTAAATTGATATTATAATCAGCTGCTAAGTAGCTAATAACGCAAGCTAGTCTACACTGAGTGCACATAAACTGTTAATGAGTAAAAGATTGTTACCCAGATAATAGCTATATGTGTGTGTGCTTGACATAGGTCTTGCGCGTTTATGTTTGTTAAAGAGACTATATGGATTTAGTGAGAAACCTTCATAGGAGTAAAATTATAGAGAATACGGTGGATGACAGTTTATATATATTTTAGTTTCTACGTTAACCTCAATGTACAGTTTTGCACAAAAGAGTTTAAGGGGTTTACAAAACTGAATATGTTGTACACGTTTCGGTGTTACTAGGGGTACTCCAACTGTGCGCAAAACGACTTCTCCGTCTAATTCGGTTTCGATCGTAGAAATGTACTGAGTGATTTGAAGTTATGGGTGAAAGGACGATGCATGAATTCATAGTTCAAGCTGGTGAGAATTTGCTGAATCCGTAACGTCGTACTAATTGCACAAGGGAGAAAAGTTGTTAGCTAAATAACCAGGGTAACTGGGATGTTAATTAGCCACGTCTTCTGAAGGATAATAGCATTATCGACTAGAAAAAACTGTGGTTACAAAACAGAACCCAGGATTTTAACCACAGGACTATGCTGCCAGATCACCCTGGTCTGTATTCGCCTAATAAGAACGCTTGTTTGAATCCAGCTTCCCAACTATTCTTTTGAACACTAGAAATTTTTGGACTGTGGTGGAATCTAAGGCTTGTATTTGCGATTATGCTCGGTCTACGCGAGTTTGGTCACCAGTCCGCTTAAGCGATTTTGTTCACTTAGTATAACTGGTTGATCAAATATCCTCCCAGTTGCCAGCAATTTGTTTTTCAATTACATTTGATGAACAAAATTCCAAGGTCTAAATTTATGGTCAAATAATACCGACTACTTTTTTCGGTGGAAAAACAATGCTAATGTATGTATCATTTTGCATAATGTGCGGATAATTCACCATGTCTGCATTTCAAGAAATGAGAATCGGTGGAATGTTTTGTCCAATCACAGTCTTCAAACTAATAGTTGAAACAAGTTGCTTTAACTAGCCATCCGGCAGTTTAGACTTAATGTCATTTGGGGCAGAGTATTAATTTTACTCAACTGCACATGTTTACAGAAAGGCTACAGTTTAAACCTAGAAACTTTATTCGCGAAAATAGGTAATGCATCGATTTTAGGACAAATAAATAATAAATGAAGGTATGATAATGGTAGTGAGTGAATGATACATATTATACGTGGAAGTCGTGCCAGCGGCGTATATATCCATCAATATTATCGTGCTTGCACCATAAAACTGTACGACGTATATTGAGTAAAGGTTGTTGCGAAATACTACATGCGCTTGTTTGATTACTAACGGCTATCAAGAAAATATACACAATATATGTAGGTTACATATGGCAAAGTATACACCGAACGGAATTAGATGATCATATTCATATTATCAGAGCAAATGTTAGGGAACAAGCTCGGTTTCAGTGGTTCCTTATCAGCCTAATTCACCAAAAATGAATGACATGAATGTAAACATCAGATAAGCTTACTGTTTCAAAACCCAGATGGTCTGATTGTCCAAGCTAGCTGATTGGCCCTACGGCGATCACGTGTTTTTGGGTTTGTGTCTTTGTCCACACTGTGTCCGTGCTAAGGGGACCAGGGTAGAGTTAGTGCCCGGACAAATTTCTTTTGCACGCATAGGTCAGGATCACATAGCCCGATGGCTATTGCATCGGGGGCTGCCAGTAGACCACATCTGACTGCTCTTGCTTGGCACGTGGGTACACGGTAAATGGGCTGGAAGGTCTATTGCGCTCTGACATGGTGGTTCGAATCGACCAAGTGTGTGAAGACTGTGATCTAGTAACGGTGCTATACAGCCAAGTTGGAGGGTTTTGGTGGCTCTCTGGGAAAGTCTCCTGATAATTCTTTCGATATATCTTGGTCGACACGGGCAAGAGAAAGAGTATACACAGTAAGAAGTACTTGACCTTGGAACTCCGTCCTAAAGCTTATGTTTCAAGGTAGGTACCGAGTATTAGCTTAACCTTGGCCTTGCTATCTATTACGTTTGAGCGATGGTGTCAGAAAACTTCCTAAACATCGATACAGCTACCTCGCCCCTCTTGAACAGTTAAGATAAGTAGATCGATTTCTTTCTTATTGCAACCATTTTCGCTTTCCCCTCTCTTACATCAATGTTTCTCCGAACGAAGCTCTCCGGACAGCCATTTTTCTCTAATAGGCTTCGTACAAACTTTAGCTCTTCCAGAAGCATGTCCTTACTACATCTCCTACTTGCTCGCTCGTCGAAGCACCGAACAAGTTTCCGTTTCTCATTGAACGGAAGGAGCTTTTTCGTTAACTTTTCTTCTGAAGTCTACTCCAGGGATATTTTATCAATATTCATCGTAGTGCGTTTAGT